GCAGCTTTTTATCATTGTTGTTCCACCCACCAGAAATCTCTTTCCCTTTCCCAACAGCTGTTGTTCGAACCTTCCCAGATCACATCCTGCCTCCTAACCAGTGTTTATTCCTTTTGCGCCGCCTCCCTGCTACATATCTGTTGTTTCTGCCTTCAGGAATTTGAATTCCAACTTATTGTCACCTAAAACAATAAGGACCTATTGTTCCATTTTCATATCTGCCCACTTGCTCTATACACCCACCTTACCGCCACCATTCTGAACCTTCAACAACCACCACCATCAACTACGATCCATCTTTGTTTGAGTTGGTGTTGTGATTTGTTGCAAATTCAGATTTTTGTTTGTCGTGTTGTTGTAATTTCCCCTTTCAGTTGTGTGGTTGTAACTTCTCTATTTGATTTTCAACAATAATATTTTGTTATCTATTGTTATTTGGGTTAACTTCAATATCATTTCATGCATCGCTTTATGACACCAAAAAGTTATACATGTAAATATCAAACTTTAGGTGTTAGATATCTAAATACATAAGAATTGTGTGTTATGTATGTAAACATCTTTTTTTCTTAAGTTTATTTTTCTATGTATGAAGTCCTAAAACTATACAATTTATGGGGCTTTTATTCTCTCATGGTAATAGGTAAAACTTCTTTCCTTATGTCTCTTTTAAAACGTTGGATGAGGTTTATCCTTACCAGAGTAATTTGGTGATCATTCGTGCATAAATAAGTGCAAACACCTTTTTTCTTTGGAAAGATTTATTTTCATATCCAACATCTAAACTCAATTTTTACATAAATGCCACCTTAGCTATGCATGAAAAGGTGCATTTTACTTTTTAGAAGTTAAAATGGCGATTTTTTTATGTTATTTGAAATATTTGGGTGTTATTAACCTAAAATGTAAAATTTAAGTGTTAGATATGTAAATACATGGAAATTGATTGGTATGCATGTAAATACTGCTTTTTCTTGTTTGCTATTTCAATATTTATCATATATATGTATATCTGAACTGGTTTTTTTTTTTTTTTAACTTAATTCCTTTGTAAATATTTAGTTTTTTGTAGCTATATCTTAGCTCAATTGTAACTGCTTGAAGGTTATTGGACTGCATGGTGGTGCACTGCTTGGAGTTGCTTACCGAACTTCAAGAAGAATTACCCCTTTAGCTGCCACCGCAATTTCCTCTCAATCAATGCCATTGTCTGTCTATGGCAATTCTTCTTTTGCTACATCTGATGATTTGAAACAGTCAGGTGCTGAAGCAGCACCTCAAAATTTCCAGTTATACAGGTAGAAATTAAATTAGGAAATGCTTATTATTATTTTTATGAGACATTTACATACACGTCACTCAATTCCTATGTATTCACATATCTAAAACCTAAACTTTACTTTTACATTTATGCCACCCAATTCTTTCATGTCTCATAAAAAATTCCTTCATTTTAACTTTTAATAGTGAAATACACCTTTTCATACATAGGTAAGGTGGCATGTATATAAAAATAGAAAGTTAGGCATTAGATATGTGAATACCTAAGAATTGAGTGGTATGTTTGTACATCTCCCTAATTTTATTTTGTAGTCTATCCCTGCTTAAAAATTCTGCGTTCACCTCAACTCATTACTATTGAATTCAGCCTATGGACTTTGAAATCTTTGTCTGATTAGCGTTGGAATGTGCAGCTGGGAAACTTTTCAATCTGTGAGTGGTCTATTTTCACAACCAGAATGGTCAGCATGGGATCAAACTGTTGAGTATTGTGCTTTTGCATACCAGCAGTACATTGTTATATCTTCCTTACGTCCGCAGTATAGGTATCTTGGAGATGTTGCAATTCCAGCTGCCACTGGTGCTGTCTGGCATCGTAGGCAGCTATTTGTTGCTACACCAACAACCATTGAGTTAGTATTCGCTTCATTTCATATTTTCTTTTACCATTTTCTTATTTTTATACAATAAACAGTGATATTTAGTTGTGGATAAAAGTTAAAAGAAAAAGAAAATAGTGCAATGGATGACAGTTCCAATTGGGGCCAATGTGGAGGATACAGTGGCATGCTAACTAATAAATGATCTAATTTTTAATTAGCCAAAAGTGATGAAAATATTAAGTAAATCATATAAGCGTGCTCAGAATTCCCGTAATTGGTAAGTTCAATGTTTAAAATCTTAGTTGTCTTTTAATTACTCATTGAACACTAATTGATATATTGATCTGCCATTGATGGTTCTTGTGCAAACCCAGAATGATTTCAAATTACTTCAGACGCAATTGAATGTAATTCAAGATGGTTCAACTCAAACAATAAGTTAATGTTTAGTCAACCTAAATATATTGAGTTCAAGTTGAGAATGAGTTACTTGAAGTTGATTTGTCACTATTCATTTACTAAGAGAAGTACAAATAGTCATGATATATAAAGACATATAAGAGGGTGAATGCTCTCATGCAAGATTATTTTAAACTTTGACATATATATTGGTCGAATAATTTGAATTCTAATTAAGGTGAGAGGGATATAGGAAGTGGAGGTAGATGATGGTTTGGTTAGTTGGAAACCATAGGAGGATACCAATTCACAAAGTTCTTGTGTTATGATTAAAAAAATAAACAAACATTTATTTGACTTATTTTTAAAACCTTCCATTTCTCTCAATAGTCGCACTAGAAATGTTGTAGATGTAATTATAGATAAGAGTTTGAAAGATAATGTTGTAAAAATTAATAGAGTTGGAGATATAATTATAGCCCTTAAGATTATCATGGATACTAAGATTTTTAATATTATAAGTGCTTATGCTCCTAAAGTAGGCTTAGATACAGGGTCTAAAGATAATTTTTGGAATGACTTCGAAGATTTAATACAAATGATACCTTTTGAAGAAAGAATTTTTATTGGAAGTGATTTAAATGGACATGTCCGGTAGAGTGGTAGAAAACTTCAGAAATACACATGGTGGCTACGGTTTTGGAGTAACTAATGAAGAAGGTAGAGCTATTTTGGATTTTGCTTTATCATATGATTTTGTTATTACTAATACTTTATTCAGGACAAGAGATGAGCATCTTATTACTTATAAGAGTGGATCTAATAAAACACAAATTGATTATTTTCTTATGAGAAGAAGAGATCGTCACGATTGTAAAGATTGTAAGGTCTTTCCAAGTGAAAATTGAAGCACCCAACATCTTTTATTAGTTTTAGACTTTAAGATTAAGAGTTGTAAAATAAAGAATACTATGACTCATTATCGTAAAATTAGATGGAGAAACTTAAAAGAGAAATAAAATTATTTTTATGAGTAAAATTCAAGATTTCAAAATTTGGGCTATTCATGAAGAAGCAAATGTTTTGTGGGATAAATTATCAAACATTATTAAACAAGTAGCAAAGTATGTGCTTGGAGAATCAAAAGAAAAAAATTATAAATAAAAATAGTTGATGAGGAATAATAATGTGCAAGAAAAGATAAAATATAAGAAGTTATGTTATAAAAATTGGTTTAAATGTAAAAGCTTAGGTTAAAATATCAAACGGCCTGTAGGGAGTCTAAAAGAACAATTTGTGACACTAAAAATTATGCTTTTAATGATCTTTATAATAGATTAGATGCTAAGGATGGTGAAAAATATATGTATAAACTAGTTAAACAAAGAGAAAAGAAAAATAAAGATTTAACTCAAGTAAAGTGTATTAAAGATGAAAATCAAAAAGTACTTTTCTTAGAAAAAGATATTCAACATAGGTGGGTGAGTTACTTTGATAAACTTTTTAATGAAGTTTCTGAAAATACGATCGACCTTAGTGATCTTAATATCGTGAATAATAATAAAACGTTTCATTTTTACCGTCGCATTAGTAAAAAAGAAGTTGAGGAGGCTTTAAAGAAAACCAAGGGTGGAAAGGCAGTAGGACCCGATGATATCCCAATTGAACTGTGAAAATATTTGAGAGATTTGGGAGTTTCTTGGCTTACTAAACTCTTTGATATTATTTTAAAAACTAAAAAGATGTCTTACGAGTGGAGGAAGAGTATTTTGTCCCCATTTTTAAGAATAAAGGGGATGCACAAGAGTGTGCGAATAATAGAGGACTTAAGTCGATTTGTCATACTTTAGAGTTATGGGAGAGAGTAATTGAACATAGGTTAAGACGAATCACAAAGATTTCTCATAATCAATTTGGATTTATGTCGGGCAGGTCTACTATGGAAGCTATACATTTATTGAGAGGTTTGATGGAGAAGTTCAGAGATAATAAGGAGAATCTACATTTGATTTTTATTGATTTAGAAAAAGC